ACACATATATATATATATATAAAATCTTCTAACAAATTATTTCGCCACATGCCAGGTATTTTAACTTCTAGTATAGGTAACTTCTAGTATCCATACCCAATATTTCCATTCCCATTCGTAGTCTGTTTGGTCCCCATGTGTGCAAGACTAAAGGATTTAATTTCTAATATATACTGGCATGGATACAGTGATCATATCACATGGTTAATTTTGTCTCCTATACCTCCTATCTCCTATATTTGTAGCAAAGAACTTAATTATAGTTAGTTTAGCTAAGAACATACTTTCTTTTAACTGAATAGACTATAATGTGGTATCTGTAATTATGATAGGAAATAAAAAATATGCACAGAGTGAAAAATGTGTGATTGTTCTATTCTGTCTACTAAGGAGGTCACTAGAGTGACATATTGTTGTAGAAAAAAAACAAGGAACTATCCGTTTGGGATGTAAATGAATTGCAAGGCTGTATGTGAATAGTCTGCATAATACTTGATTAAAATATACAAGTTACATTTAATTTTTTATTATAAGGATGAAACAGCAATTATGTGTGGAAATTTTAAAAATGATAGTGTAAGATACTGGATATTTGTAAGGTATTGGAAAAGATATATGTTAACTAATATATTTCTATAAATAAAAATGAATTGTTAGATCTTAGGACCAAATATTACTCTGCTCTGCCTTTTATTCCAATAGACAGATTTTGAGACATTTAAAAAGCCATCAGGAAGAAATTTTATTTACTATTTCATTCCAAAATTTATACCAGTTTCTCCCATTACATTATTCTTCTTTAATTATAAGTATATTATCACATACTGAAAAATCATCACTATCCATTGACTGCATTGTTATAACACTGACAGTTAGCTTTTATGATTTGTCATATTATAATAATACATTAGCAAGTATAAATTTTGGAAGTCATTTCAGCTTGCTGGAGGCATTGCATTATTTCACATACACTATCCATACTTATTGGCTATGTTTCAGTTTTCTTATTTGTTTGTAATTTGTACCCTCACTGTTTCCAAGAGTCATTTGAAGCAGCTTATTTTAATTATAATTATATTGGCTAGGTTTTTCAGAGATGTTCCAGATTTTTCTTCCTCACTTAACAAGAGCAGCATACATAACTGAAAATGTAAGTTGCTTTGTTCTTATTCTCATGGCTCATTTCAAATTATGTGTTTTGCAGAGGTTAATATTATGTGGGCTGGACACCAAACCCACCACAGTTCTGAAGACTACAACTTATCCACAGCACTGAGGCAATCTGTTTTCCAAATATATACTTCCTGGGTAAGTTGTATAAAATTGAATACATATAATAATATAATACATTTTTAATTTTTTAATTAAAAAAAAATTTTAGTGTTTATTTTTGAGACAGAGCGAGAGACAGAGTGCAAGTGTGGGAGGGGCAAACAGAGAGAGACAGACACAGAATCTTATGCAGGCTCCAGGCTCTGAGCTGTCAGCACAAAGCCTGACACAGGGCTCGAACTCACGAACTATGAGATCATGACCTGAGCTGAAGTCAGATGCTCAACCGACTGAGCCACTCAGCCACCCCATAATACATTTTTTAAAGTCTCAATTGTTTCCATTTCTTCCAAGTAATCTAAAATAAAGTGTTTTGTTAATGCTTTTGTCTCCTTTCATAAGGCAAGACACATATGAAGCAAGTGGTATTTTGCAATGGTAGTCTTTTATTTGATAAAACAAAACAAAGCAAAACAATAACAACAACAACAAAAACACAATTTCACCTTGAGGTATACAGCAAGGTGGGAGATTGGCTGTCTACTTTTTTTATTTACTATAACTAATGACAGTGATGTATAGGCAATGTATCTTCATTCACATATATGCAAAGATTTCACAAGAAACTTTTTTTTAAGTTTATTTATTTAGTTTGAGAGAGAGAGTGAGAGTGAGTAGGAGAGGGGCAGAGAGAGAGGAAAAGAGAGAATCCCAATCAGGCTTCACACTGTCAGCATGGAGCCTGACCCAGGGCTCAATCCCATGAACCATGAATCATGATCTGAGCTGAAATCAAGAGTCAGCTGCCTAACTAACTGAGCCACTGAGGCGCCCCAAGATTTCATTAGAAACTTTTAAAAGCAGTTTTAAAAAATTCGGTTCCCGTTTCTCCATGCCCAAGTGAAATCTATGTAAATTCTTTGCTTTTTATATACATATTAGAGCAGTTAATATGATGCTCAATAAAAATTTTGGCTCTAAAATATTTTTACACAAGGAAATGAGCAGACTAATGAAAACCAGAAATAGCCTTTATTTTGAAGTTTCTTCTGATTCCCTGGCATACTTGACCCACTTGGTAATAGCCCTCATCTGTGATTGTCACTCTTTATGTCTCCATAGCTATCCAAATGACTGCTGCTAAGAGGCATACTGACATAAATAAAAGGTCCGAGTTAGCAACACACCTGTCTGGCTCAGTCGGTAGAGCGTCTGACTCTTGATTTCAAGGTCTTGAGTTCGAGCACTCATTGGGTATAGATACTACTTTAAAAAAAGGAGAGGAGTGCCTGGGTGGCCCAGTCCATTAAGTGTCGGACTTTAGCTCAGGTCATGATCTCAGGGTTCGTGGGTTGGAGCCCCACATCGGGCTCTGTGCTGACAGCTAGTAACCTAGAGCCTGGTTCAGATTCTGTGCCTCCCTCTCTCTGCTCCTTGCCCGCTCACACTCTGACACTGTCTCTCTCAAAAATAAATAAACATTAAAAAATTTTTAAAAAAGTAGAAAGTGTTATCACTGTGTAAGTGCATTCATCAATAAGCTATTTATTAACTATAACTTATAATGTTACAGCACTTGTATGGTTCTTTATAGTTTGCAAGGCACTTTTACATACCATTTATTGAATACTTTCTGTGTTCCAGACAATCTTCTAAGATTTCTTTATGCATTAACTGTTTGATCTTCATGGCAACTTTATGAGACAGGTACTAATATAATGCTCATTTTAAAATGATGAAACTGAGTCCATAGTTCAGTTATAAAACTAGTAAAAGGGAGAGTTGAATTTGAACTCATTCAACTGAGTTCAGTTCAACTGGCTGCAGGGTCCCTGATCTTATCCTCCACACCAAATACTCTTTTATTCGCCTCTGTATTTTTCACTTATATTACTATGCTAGATCAAGTGTTACTATTATCAGGGAACCAAAGATCAGTGAGGTTAATTACACAGCTAGTACGTGACAAAGTCCCATATTTGAAACCAGATGCTTCATAAAAATATATATACTGGCCTGTGTTTTAATCCAAACAGCAGCATAGGCAAAACAAATCTATAAGTCACTGATGGTACAAATATATTTGCTGAAAGAGATATTAAAAGAAATCCAGGTCCCACCCCCTACATCACACATCTGTGTTACTGTGTGTATTAATTTCCTAGGGCGGTCATGATAAAGTCTCACAAGCTTAGTAGCTTAGAACATCAGAAACCTGTTGTGTCATAGTTTTAGAAGCCAGAAGTCTGAAATCAAGGTGTTGGCAGGGCCATGGTCCCTTCCCTGAAGACTCTAAGGAAGGATATGTTCTACTACTGTCTCTGAATTTTTTAGATTCTGATAGTTCCTTGACATTTGGGAGCATAAGGCTAGTCTTCATATGGGGGTCTCCCTGCCTATATCAAAATTTCTCCTTTTCTCTTTATATAAGGACACAAGTCATATTGGATTAAGCCCCACCTACTCCATTATGAGCACATCTTAACTAACTATATCTGTAAGGGCTGTATTTACAAATAAGATCACATTCTGAGGTAGGAGATAGGATTTCAACCCATGAATTTTGTGGGGGACACAATTCAATCTATAACATGCTTTAACCAACATAGGTGGAAAAGAAAGAGCATATATCTTTTCCATATCCTTAGTTTGTGCTGGAACTCTGAATGATTCATTGTGAAAGAAATTATGACCTATGTCACAGTTGGATAGCTCAAGACTGGCCTAGGGCTCCAGTGAATAAAAGGAACAGGCCTCTGATAGAGGGGAGGGATACTGACTATCCTCCCTTCTTAAGAAATAGCTTCATAATGCAAACATTTATTGTCCTGTACATAGGCTAAACATAGCCTATACATAAACATATTAGCCTATACATAGGCTAAACATGTGCCTGATTAAAACAATGATCTCAAAAATCTTTATTCTCTCTTGAGTTATATATTTCCCTTTGCATAAAGATAAGTCAAGCCTCCAGTGTTTACATTTGGGGGGATAAAGCCTCCAAGAAAAGATGTAGCTGTATTTGAAGTTGGTCCAGGAAATTAATGCAGTGTGTAAATTGATTATCTGAGGAATTATCAAAGGAGACTTTTTATCAGAGCATCATAGATTTCAGAACTGGAAGAGATCTGGGAGACAGTATATTTAAATCATCTATTTTAAAAGCTACAAAATGAATCTCAGAGGAGCCCACTACCTCATACAGTATTGAACATTGCTGGTTGGAATCTGAATCCGACATTTGGCTCCAAGTTTATGGTAATCTTTACCCTAGTTTCATTTGCGACATTCCCCTTATTAAGTCAATGCATTCAAAGCTACAGATTAGTGAAAGCCTAAGTAAAATACAGGTTCACACCTATTTATTGCCAGTATAAATCCCTTTTACAACCTCATATCATCTTGCCAAGGACACAAAATATGCTGAGGGGGGAAATGAGCATTGGGAATGCATCAGAAGCTGCTAACTTGGGGGAGGGGAGCAAGCTGGAGGATTTGCCACGTGGGAAATGAAAGGCAGAGATTGTGAATCAGATTGGAGTTTTGTCTAGCATTTGTAGGTCTGTTAGAAGATAGCATAGATGGTTTAAGGGTCTGTGATGGTCAACGATGTGTAGGAGGTCTTTCTAGACATTAAAATCAAAGAATACCACTAGTTGGGTTTTTTTTTTTTTTTTTTTTTTTTTTTTTTTTTTTTTTTCATTTTCTTTGAGTCTTTTGTAACATTCTTCTCATTAGTGCTGCTGCATACAGCAGGTAACTTGGTAGTTACTAAGGTAACAACATATTTTAGAACAAGTAATAAATGTCTTTGAAGAGAAAATTAATTTGTGAAATGTAAAGCATAGTTATTCTTAGAGTGCTTTTCGTTTACATTACTACAAAAGTTAGGGTGGCACTCCTGTCATTTAAAATAGTTAAAGATGAGAATTCAACTTTCAAGAATTTCTAGCTGTACTTTTTGCACTTTTTTAAAAGCCATTTTTAACCTCAGATTTACCATTGCTCATCCAAAAAGAACTGCGATGGATGGAGGCCATTTTAAGGGAACCTTATTTACTACACACCGAAATACGTGATTTTGCCTGCTACTTCCATCTCTTACTACGTATCCTAATTGATACAATGGCTTAAACATGATAGTCTCTTCAAATAATAAAATGTGTCTAGATCCATGGATATTATTTTACATACAACAATGTCAAGAAAATCACTTCATTTTCTTCCATCTTTATTTGGATAAAATACCTGAATGCTACAGTTTATATTCAAAACATAGCTAGAAAAGTGCTAGAAAAATTAAATGGGTTATGCCAAAGGGTTATAGGAACCAACTTGATGGAACACCTCATGGCCAAAATCTGGAGCAACTTGAACAGTAAAATATATAATGGAGTATAGAGTTAGAATCCAAAGTATAAAATAAATATCTTTGAAATCAGCCCATACTGATATAGATAAATGATGGAATAACTAGATAAATGGGGACAAATATATGGGAGACACGTTCCTTTAAAGAATTCCAAAAGAATCACAGATGATATACATAGATATATCTACCACCCCCCAACCCCTGCCTCTAGGAAATGGTGCTTAATGTCTCCCTTACCCAGACCTTTTGAGTTCAGACTGTACTGAGGACTTCCTGTACAATGAATAGAGAATTAATAATGGACATGGAATGTAATGGGACAGATGGTAGCTACACTTGTGATAAGCATAGCATAATGTATAAACTTGTTGAATGACTCAGTTGTATACTTGAAACTAAGGTGACATTGTGTGTCAGGTATATTCAAACAAACAACAAACAAACAAAAAGTAAAAACACCAAAACAAAAACAAAAAATAAAAGAGAGAGAGAGAAAGAGACAAAGGGTGAAGTACGGGTGGGAGGTAACTTTAAAATGGAGACACCTGGCAAACAAAATCTCAGATAAAGTTAATTTTGTCAGTGATATCTTGTTGATAGCATGTACCCTTTGATAAGATGTGATAATAATGGCCTATTGAATGGCCCTTCATCCCTTTGG